ATATGAACACATCTATAAATATATGAACCATTGTGTCAAATACGAACAAAAATTTGACATATATATGAACTTGGACTGCATAACATTTATGAACATAATAAGAATAACTGCTACACGAAAGAAAAAAAACAGGTATGAACGCGATATGAACAGCTTGTGAACAATAGTTTCTTCATTATAAACACATTCAGAAGCGATCATTTGTCAATTGCAGTTTTATACATGCATTGCATCCACACCGTTTAAGGTTCACCCCTTGTTCATATCGTGTTCAACTCTTGTTCATATCGTGTTCACCTCTTGTTCATATCGTGTTCACCTCTTGTTCATATCGTGCTCACCCTTGTGATATCATATAAAATATATGAACACATAATCCTAACGCTATGAACACCGGGTGCAAACACTTACACAAATATAAAGATTTGATATCAAGCTTAAAAAAATAACACTTGTGTTCATATGATAGAAGTAACATGAACACAATGGTTCATGATTCATAAAAGTCGGTAATATGACAATACGAAAATAGGTCGTGCATGTACTTCCATTTGAACATGTGAATTAGGTACGTATTTTAATAATTAAAGAAAAAAGCTATCAATACAAGATGAATTATAAAAAACACAACACATCGTAATGAACATAATTTCGATTAAAACAAATCTAAAAAAATAAAAAATATATTACCAAGACATTCGCTTTGGTTAATTTTTTCAATTCTCGGCCTTGAACTCCGTTTGTCATCATAAATCATTTTAATCTTCTCACTGTTGTCGATTTATTTTCCATTGCGTTTATCCATATTAGYTTGATCGATACCGGAAATTTTTATTACCGTGTTTTCTATGCGAATTAAATACTGATAAAACAATGAACATTGAAGATCAATATTAAAAAAAATAAAAATATTAATATTATATATGCATATTTTTTGGGATTTGATGATTTGTAACTCCCTATTAATTGTTTGGGAGTTACATATCAAATCAATTTACTGAAATACCCTTATAATTAAAATGTGAACATGACATAAACCGACAAGAAGAATGAAATTTGATTGGTTGCCATGATTTTCAAAGTTAACACAAAATTGTTGGTTAACATTTGATCTCCCCCCCTTATATATATATATATATATATATATATATATATATATATATATAAGCGATCAAATACAAATCGTTCTTTTTGTGCAAACCATACAAACCAATTTTATTCATCCATTTTCATGATCAAAGGTCATTATAATTATTTTAGGAAAGTAAAAAAATAAAAGTATTATCATTTAATCAAGAAAGGGTAAATTTGGGAAAAGATTTTAAAGAATTTAAATTGGGCAAAATAAAAGTATTACTATTTAATGCTGATTTAAATCTTTGAATGAAAACGATTAATGATGAGTTAACAAAAGAAACATAATGAAATGGAATGAAGCAAAAGGCAATTGTATGAAACAGATAATGCTGAATGAAACTCAAAAAAAAAAACAAAATGAAATGGAATGAAACCTGTTTCATATCAATTTGATACCTATTTCATACCAAAATTCAATATTCTCTTATGAGGCTGAATGTTAAAAAACCTGTTTCATACCAATCTGAAATTGTGTCATTGATTTTCCTTCCATTCATATATTTGACATAGGTTGTTCCTTAATAAACATCTTTTACTTGCACATTGGAAAAATATATTATTTGGGACTGGATTGATTAATGTTTAAGCTTCAAATGTGAATTATATGGTTGTAAATTTGTTCCTCAACTTTCAAAAGCATATAAATAAATACCATCCACCAGAGCTCTTGGTTATTAACTAAAGATTTTAAAATTAGAACTGTTTTGATACTCAAATGAAAATTGAATTTAATAATAACCAAAGACCCTCCGGGTTTTATTTTAAATCTTTACTCTTTTGAACAATCAAAATATAATATCTGATATCCCAAAAATATTTGTTATTCAAAACACAGGCAATTAATGCCTCAGGCTATAAGCCATTTTCCATTCTCAATAACACCGTTGTTATCATTTCAATAAGAGCAATATCTTCAAGTATTCATGTCACAAAGAAATGTTAACTCAGAATTATTGCATCTTATGGATGTGACAACAAGAGCTATAATAGTAACAGATCTCACAATTGTCACCCTTATCCAAAGTACACATCTCCTTGATATGTCACTCTTATCCCATGGTACATCTCTCCTTAATATGTCACCCTTGTTTCCTCATTAAATGCAGACAAATCTGTTGTTTTAGTCAATAATGGCCTAAAAAACAGTTTCATTTCAGAAACTTTATCTCAAGAACTTTCATACTTCTAAACCCAATTCCAATATCATCTCAAAACAACTTTCAAAACAGTTTACTCTTCTCAACCGTTTTGAAAGAAACGATACCTTTCTCAAATTATTTCCTCCTTTCCGAAAGAGAGAAAATGGCACATATTTCCTCCTTTCCGAAAATGGCAAACTGATTGCCTTTCAAATTTTCCAACTTTAAATACCCTTGCCCAAAATAGGCGACGAAGACTTAATAATATAAAATCCCCCCTCACACCCACCTCCACATACATACATATACACATATACATGCATACATCATCTTAATATAAACAAATAGTTACGTAACCAAATAAACAAGTAGTCAATTAACCAATTAATTACCTCAAATTATATAACCGGACCAGTTATCATAAAAATCGGCCCTATACTCACTAAAGCAAAAACCCTAAAAAAGCTTAAAGACTCGACCTTTAGATTCTTGCGACCCAGGGTCGAGCGCTGATTACCCACGTCGTTCAGCTCAAACACACTCAAAAGCTAACTCGTACGACTTCCCCCACGGTCTAGGACCTAGCCACGGGACTCATTGTTTCCCTAATCTTTGATCATAGGATGCCACGCGACTACAATTGCGACTTGGGGTCATGAGCTAGTTCGCCGCAAACACTATTTTGCTCCGCTTCGACATTGTTCTCAGATTTTCTCGCATGAGATCATACCCAAACTTTTCCTCAACTCATAAACTTGAAAATTGAAATTTGAAACTTAATGTAAATCCAATATAATTACATTAAAAAAAAATTCAAGTGTTACATTCTAACCTTTTATATTTCTTGATAAAATAAGCAGATGAACGAGTTAAATCACATGTGGTTAGTAACTGTTGAGTTATCTTTTTTTTATAAAACACCATATGACAATGTACGTGATTCCTTATTTCTTTCTAAAGTAGGTGTTGACACTGTTTTTCAGTTTATTCGTCTCTGTCTTCCTCTTGAAATTAGACTATTCTATAACACCCCATTCGACGTGAAAAAGTAAAGTGTGTAAGCTTCTACAATTATATGGAAGCATTTCATTACTTATACAAGAGAGTCGTGCATAGTGGATCATATTTACAATATTGTACCATTATTTACTATGGTAATCAAGGACGTTTCAATCTTTTTGGAGGTGTTTTACATCTAGAACTTTTGATTACATTGGATAAATGAGATAATAGAGAATATATGTTAAGAACAAAAATGGGCTACACCTAAAACGATTAACAACCTGAAACTAATCCTAAACCATTAATGATTTGAACCTAAAACCATATAATTAATGGTTTGAGCCTAAATAATTTCGGCCATAGTTCTACACATGTCGATAAAAAGACCCTAAACACATGAAAATATAGGCCCCAAAATTTTGGGGTCCCTGTTCAAAATCTCACATTTAACATGCTAAGGGAATGTGCATATCATGCTTTCTGAACTCAATACATATATCCTATTTATATATACCTCTGAGATATTGATTCATGTCTTTGCTCATCATTGTTCCTCATGTTGGTTTATCTGTCTAGTGATACATACACGCAAATGTCGAGTAAACTTGAAATTTAAGTGTTTTTTTACGTAAATTCATTTAGTGACGATTTCAACTTAAGTCCCAACGATTAGACACGATAAAATAAGTGCAAAAAAAATACACAACAAACAAGTAAATACATTACGATTGGTGACACAAGAAACCCGGAAACTGGGTAAAAACCGCGGGTGATGAAGATCATTGTTTCATTAGTATAAGAAAGTTGATATGAACAATGTGAGTACAAATATGTCACACTAAGTAAATGCATGTCAATTTTAGAAATTAAGTAAAAGAAATGGTTCACATATATGGAAATATTGTGGCTGAATCTGGCCTCTCTCCTCTCTTTTATGCTCGGGTTCCCCTAGCAACCATTAGATGATCTCACGAATGTCAGATAGTTAATTGAAAGTAACGATAGAGGTGGATTGCACACTTAACTCGTTCAACCGGTCACTGATCCCCTGGGCATTTATGTTGTCAAGGCCACTACCATCTTGACGCTACCGTTGTCGTTGACACTATTATTGTCGTCAATTTTCAAGCATCGCCTAGCTAGCTTCCGGTTCCAAGAGTCACCTAAAGCATCATTATCATTATCATTATCATGGATTACCATTTGATAAGATAACCCTACAAATTGTAATTGCAACACTAAATAATACCCAAAGTTTAATACATTGTTTTTAAAACTTTTAACCAAACACTTTAAAAGTGATTAGCATTTAAACACAATACAAGTAATCAATAACCAACTGATAAATATAAATAAACCCAATAAAAAAAACTTGCTTACCATTTTCCTATTAGAAGAAAAATTGCAATATTTTGATAGAACACAATAGGAGGGTATTTTTGTCTTTTTTCATCATTCCGTTCCAATTTTGTTGCAAACCAAACAAACAGATTCCAATTCATTAGACAGAATAAATTACGTTCCTACCAACCAAACACTTGATCAAACCTGATAACATTCCATTTCGATTCCTTCCAGATTCCAATTTCTTTGACAGATTTCATTTCTTTATAAATCATTCTGCGAACCAAATGCCCCATAATTTCCCAAATGTAACCTAATGATCAGTAACTATGCTTTAAGTGACAGCCAATCAAAAATCAAAAATCAAAAATCAAAAATCAACACGTATTCGGATATATATATCGTATGAGACACCAATGTTATCATGCTCAAGTATACAAGACGAAACCGCTGAAAGAAAAGAATTTTTTTGTACACCAAACAAAACCCCATTTTAGAAGCTGCTAATATCCAAATGGTCATGGTTTTTTAGTTCAGTGGTATCATGCTGCACTCTCCCACTGATTTCCAGACACAAGCCTTTAGCTATCCCTTTGTTCATGTGATTCGCCTTGCCATCGGCATTTTTCTTGCTGGGCCCAGGGTCGATGAAGATTGGTTGTATCTCGAGGCTCGGGTTGGGTTTGAACCGGTTCACTTCACGATCATCAGCAGGCCTAAGCAAGATGCTCTTCGGCAATTGTTCTGAGGCTTCATCTTCATTCAGAAGCACCTACAGTAAATGTTCTAACAGTTAATACCAAACAAATCTACTAATCCAGAGTAGAGTCTCGAGAGGGTAAGATGTATGCAGGACCTTGCATCTACCTTGAGAAGGTAGAGAGACTTTTTCTGTAAAGACCCCCAGATTGAAAAATGAAATTTAACGGTTGAAAACAAGTATAATGATATGGGCTTAAGATGGGAGTGGGTGGAGGGTTTATTTAGGAAAATAACCTTCCTACATTTTTTGAAGCATTTATCTAATAAGTAGGCATTCTTAAATCTACAGAAGGTCCTGCATTTCAAAATGATATTTTAGAAGGTTATTCTCCTAAGTAACCCATGGGACGGAGGCGGGAGAGGGTAACAACCTATGAAGATTATTATCTACTTACAGGGAAAAAGATACACGAGGCTTTGTTTTAAGGGAAAATTTATACGAAGAAGCAAGATAGCAAGGTTCCATCCATTGGTGCTGCTTTCTGCACTTAGTTTTGAGGGTCGCTCTTTATTTCTCCTCACACCAAATAAAGAGGACCCACAAGACGAAAATATTAAACGGTGAACTTTGAGCATATTTTCATGATTCATTGTCACATCCATGCTTGAAAGCCGAGAGTTTCAACGTGCACCTTGCCACCTTGGCATATATGCTATGTTGTCATTTCCTTGAAAGTAATTGTGTTAACGGCATAGAGTAGCTGAATCCGATCAAGCAAATCCAAACTAAAAGTAAAGGTGGGATCTTTAGAGTGCTACTGATTGTGTGCATAATAATATGATGAATATTTTAAAAATCTAAATCATAAGAGCATGCACTAATTTTATCCACTTTTACACTCGTAAGATATTAAGAGAAAGGGGAGGATGCAAAAACAATAACGAATGTAAAGAAGTCAAAGAGCAATACCTTACGCCCAACCAAATCAAAAGAGATGACAACTTTGTTGCGGTTAGCACGTTCAGCCTCCTCTATCTCCTCTTTTTTCTTTCTCAAAAGTTCCTTTTCCTGTGTGCCATTGAGATTCAAAAGTTAAAACGACGGCATATAAAACCAAATCATACCAAATTAAACAAGCCCGGTATGTCCATCCGAAGGCGGGCGTGATGTACGCTGACCCGACCTCTACCCTGAAGAGCAGAGTGGTTGTTTTGTGAAAAACCCCGCTTGTGCAAAGTGTTAGGAAAAAAACGACCACATATCTGATGCACTTTTAAATTGGAAAATTGACCAACAAGATACCTCCATTGACAGCCAACTGTTCCCTTCAATCTCATAGTAGTCACTTTGATCATCTATCACAGTTGTACGTGCAGCAGAGTTTCGATCATAATCAACAAGCCTCTTTGCATAAGCTTCGGCTGCTGCCTCAGCATCCGATAAGGGACCAAATTCTTCCTCTAGCCCAGCATACGTGCTTCCTTCTCTCAGAACAAGGGCCCCACAAAAGCTGCAAGGTCCCTCTCCTTCCTGTTCACACACAATCTTCCCACAAGATAAACAATTACTAACCAGTCTGTGCCTACGAGCTTCACACGAACATGGTTTTCCCTGTTGAAAAATGATAGAGCCCTTGGAAGCCTCCGCAATTGATATGACTTTCCCAGATTTTTTCTTCTTTGACTTGCTTTGATTGCCTGTTTGTTGGTTTTGTGGTTGCGTGATCTGAGTTGGGATGTTTTTCTCCTTGGAAGTGGATGGTGCAGCCTCTTTTGGAGCTTTTACAGGTTTTTTAGTCACACTAATTGGTTCTTTTGCTGGTGGTTTGACATACTCCCGTAATTGGGAAGTTGGACCATCTAGCAAGGTGCTGGTAGTATCTGTATAACCTCTTCGCTTCAAATATTCATCGATCACATGTCGGCCAGCTTCCTCGCCAACAATATTCTGTATACGGAAAAAAACAAAATATGTTAAGGTTTTGTTCGTTTATACCATTTTCCTCAGCCCTCCATTTTGTGGGTCCCAGCTTTCTTTTCTGTTGGATAACCATACCAAACAAAACAAGCCCAATATATGCCACCCGGAGGTGGGGTCCACGGGTTGTACGCAAACCTAATCTCTACCTCAAAGTCTAGAGCACTTGTTTCCGTGAAGACCCCCGGCTTGTGCAAAGTGTGCGCAAAAGATGCAAAAAAGTATATGAAGTTCAGTTATGAGACATTTTCTGTTTATCCATTTAGTATCTCCTCTATTTCTTCTTACAAATAGAGGTAATCTTCCTTCAATGCATGGACTATAGTGAAATCATGAGATGGGAGAATCCAAACAACAATTATGGATATAGACAAATCGGTAAACCACATAAACACCTTCTCCAATCTGCAACTACAATCAGGTGTGTGAGATTATAGAGTCTGAAACTTTCTCCTTACATTAAGGCCATGTTTGCAACCATAAGCTAACTTTTTTTGTATTCATAGAAAAAACCCCATTTGGTTATCCATAAGCTAGCTTTTTGAAAAGCTACTTCAAGTAGCTTTTCAATAACCTCCAAGGGCTTTTTTCAAATTATTCCCTATTATGGCCCTTATATTTTTTTAATTAATTTTCAACATGTCCTTTTAGGTCATTTTACATTTTCATCTAGCTTATCAGCTAATTTCTATAAAACATGACTAGTTTATCAGCTAACAACTAGCTCATTGACCAACAACTAGATTGCCGAACATAGCCCTGGTAAATGGGACCGACCATAGCATCTTTTAGTCTCACCACTATGAATAGGACTCACAAAATGAAACATTGGTGGTAAAGATGTTCTGTTATGCTTGCTGACAACAAAAACACGACTCATGATTTACAGAATCTGAACGCTAATCTAAGATTCTATCATCACTACTCTGCAAATCAAATGAAAGACATTAACAGAAACATAACTATCACAATTTGAAACAACCTTTGAATTTGTGTGTGTAAAACATCCAATTCCACATAATTGTTCATTTACACATAATCTTCATGGCTACTTAAGTACACAGAGATCAAAGAAATCTCTTGAGATATCCAACAAGTTATGCATGAAGATTCACTCCCTGCCTTTTCTCCCATTCTGTTAAGACCCAAATAAAATGTAATACAAAGAAGCTGCTTTGCAACTTATGGCATGATCTGCAGCATCTTTAAATGTCATCAACTGCCTGCCGTTCTATAACTAGAATCCATACACTCAAACCTACTGTTTCATATTTATGTGAATGCAGAAACAACACAAGATGAAGCGCCCACCATAGACCTATTGTCTACAAAATACAATTTCGAAGAGATCCTATGGTGCTCTGAAAGCATAAACTGGAAGCAAAATGAATACAAAATATGGCACTCCAATAAGACCATTAATTAGATGCTTATGCTTTAATTCCCGTTGCCATTTATCACATAACCAACATCATGATATATCAATTCTACTAGAGTATTAGACAGCCAACAAACAAACAGCTTCACCATCCACAACAGAACTAATAATCTGATATTTTTGCAGATCAGATGACATTTCGATTCACGGCAATGCATAAACTTGATAAACCCTACCGGACACCCTTGAATAAATCCAATCATCACGACGCCTAATGCAGCAAAACGATATTCAAAACCATGGTGCAAACCCCTACTAATTAACTAAACCCAAAGATCAAATTCTACAACGATAGGAAGAACCCCATTTAAGAATTGAACTTTTTAGGTTAAAACAACGATAAATAGAACATGTAGTGAGATGAAATATGAGAAATTACATCGAGATACTCCTTGGCGTCAATAGGAGGAGCAAGATCACAGTAGGAGACTAGCCCTGAGATGAGATCACCGTCCAAATCCAAACCCTCCGTCTTCCGGCAAAGGTCCAGTAACGCCTTCTCCAACCACTGTCCCGCCGTCTCCATTCTCAGAAGTGTTGCTGCCGATCGAGATGTGAAGCAATTCAGTAGTTTCCAATTTCTAAAGTTTAGAGTTACTTTGGCATGTTAACAGATATGATTCTTCGATTTTATTTACAATTTGTTCAAATTAGTCATGCCATCAAAATCTAACAACATTCGTGTTAGGGGTGTTTGGGATGGCTTATTTAAAAGGGCAAATTGCATAAAAATGTAATGTACTCTAGTTTTATTCTTATTTTGGGTAACATACTTTCAAAACCTTTATTTTGATACTTAAGATGTGAAATCTCAAACTTTTAAGTACCTGGGTTACCTATTCTTCAGGTAACCGGTAAACTAAGAATGACATGTATTTTAAACAAATGATGTGGAATAAAAATTGACATGTAATCAAATGACATGGAAAATATTAAACACATTATTTTTTTTAAAACTAAATTTCCCAATACAGGGGTTTCAAATTTTCAATCGGCGCCCTAAATCTCAATCGACGCCCTAAATCTCAATCGACTTCTTCAACTCTAACAATCGGCTTCCTCAATCTCAATCGACGAACTCTTCTTGCAAATCTTCCCTCAATCGTCGTCACCAATCTCCTACATCGATGTTATCTGGTCTTAGGTATGTAAAATCGTTGTATCTCTTCTTCATCAACTCCATTTTTTGTGGTTTTAGAGCTTTTCTAAAATTTCCCTTTTTGTGTTTTTAGGGTTTGAATCTGCTATATCACATTGCAATGAGTATCAGGTTAGTTCTAAACTCAAATARAGCATCGATTATAGTCAGTTTCCATGGATTATGATTGACTGATTTGCCGTATAGATATAGCAAGAATCCTATATAAGCTTCTATCTTGTACAATCTCAATCCAATAGAAATCCATTTGTTCTGTTGTGTGCTACGGTGCCACCGCTCCGTTTAGTTGCTGGGTCCAATAGAAATCCATTTTTCCCATGCATACAATTACCCTTGTGTTGGCTGTGGTTACTTGGTARAAGGCTTACCATTTCATAGGGAAAAACTATGGCAACCACCAAAGTTATTATTGGAATTTTGTCATGGGGTTTGATCCCAAATAGATGGGAAAGTGAAATCYAAGCACTTAAGCAGCTTTATATATGCAAAAGCGTTTATATAATTTAAATTTAAACATGATTTGGGAGAACTTGAAATCGAAAAGATTTATATATAAATCTTRACTYATCAGTATCACTTTGCAAGAAAATGTTGTATATTTTAAACACAATCGTGAATGCATTTTGTAAAGGTTTCTGTTCTCAAAAATTGTTAATCAATGATTGTGTTATGTCTACCTGATCAGTAGCCGATGACTTTCAGCTGATGGATTTTAAAGGATGAATTTCAGCTGATGGGTATCCACTGGCATCTCGGTTACTGGTTTAATTGCATTGTTCTTATATTAATATGGGTAATCAACAAGTCCTATCACATGTCAATCATGACCATTAAGAAAAACAAACACACAAGTTCATGGTGGTTATCAGGGCTGTCGCCCAAGCCAACATAGGCCTAACCCTTAAACTTGTTATACTAGGGTCATTTTTCATATTTTTCAAAGAAAGTTTACCTAATACACTCTTGATCTGTCTCTCGAGTCTCGACCATACGCTCAAATCGACGCTCTTGAATCCACTCGAGTATCTGCTCTCCTCTCAGCCTCTGGCTCTCGGCCTCTTACGGTTTCACCTTGCTCTTCTCTACGGTTCTACCCCTCAACCTTTCGGCCTCTCATAATATGCCTTAATTCCTTTCTTTGGCCAAGTATTTTCTTTTCTAATGAATTAATTACAGATTAGGCTAATAACGTTAGTAGATTACTTATTAGAATATTAGGTTATTTGCCTATTTGAGTATTTGACTATTGGGTTATTTGAGTATTTGATTACTTGATTATCTGCCAATTTGAGCACATGGAACCACAAAAAGAAAACCTGTTGAAGCAATTTTTTGATTTGTGGCTTCATAATAACTAACCTATTTTTTTGAAGCATTAATTGTTTCCTCATAAAGGTCATTGCTAGAAGYAATACTAGTCTTTCCAAAACCAAGAACCTGAAATTGCTTTTCTACATTGTGAAAGAACTTTGTGGCTTCGCATGACAGATAAGCAAGATCACCAGAAGATTAAATAAATAGTACTAATACAACCACAAATTAATCTATAGATTCAACTCAACTTGGTAATCATAAATCATGATATTATCATGATATCTTGACTTAGAGTGCTGAAAAGGGATGGTGAAACGATTACATATTGATTTAACTTCACCACAATATTAAGGACCGATTGATAGTTCTAAGCATTCATCAAAATGCAAGCATTTACATGAAGGAATATGTCAATTATGCATGATTAAAACGTTAAAACATACACCATGTCATTAATTTAGTGCTAGAGCAATAACACAAAAATTAGGAACACCACTCCTAAAATAGGATTAGATTGAATTGGATTCATGTATTTGAATTCAATCTAAAATAGTTGTATCCTCTAGGCAATGYCCAACACCATAGTGCTACTGGGGTGAATTTCGCCTTAGGACACTGTAGGCATCTGTMTATATATGTATCTGTTTCCTTGGGCAATATCATCAACAGGCTAGTATTGATTGGATTGATTTTAGAGTAAACTACATTTTTATCAGGGAGAGGTTCAAGCGGCAGGACTTCAAAGAGAAAGGGTTGGTCCAATTCCACCGATTGTGGTAAGTAAACCTTGTGATTCTTATGTTTTTTTATCAATTTTTTCTGATTTGTTATTCAAAAGTCATTAGGTAATTAACGTGACTTTTTTTTTATTTGAAGTTGAAGCAAAAGAAGGGGAAGAAACTGCGTCTAAAAGGACTAAGTGAAGTCGGGTGTAATATTGGTTGGGCATTAACAAAGTATAGTAGCATTTTGGTTTATAATTGATAGCGGTGTTATGTTATTGTCCTTTTATTATAATTGATACGTCATTTTTGTAAAATATTTAACCATCTGGAATATTTTTGTTAATTAATTTATCAAATGTTTAGCAATGATTATMAATGTTTTTATTATTTGATATTGTTTAGTGAATTAAAATTTAAACAAATAATAGGCCTAAAGATGTAATTTTTCTTAATTGAAAAATACGTATTTCACAAAAGAATAAAATTAAAAGAACGATATGGATTTTTTAACTGAAAAAAATACAAATTTAAAAAAAAATGATGTGGAATTTTCCTTAATTGAAGAAAATACAGATATCTAAAAAAAATTAAAAATGACATGGATTTTTTTTTCTTAGATGGCATTGATAAAAAAAATAAAAAAATGTCACATCAATAAAAACCTAATCCTAGTCAGCATTTGTAAGTCATCAGGTAGACCAGGTACTTAAAAGATTGATATTTTACAATTGAGGTACCAAAATATAGGTTTTAAAAGTATGTTACCCAAAATAGGAATTAGATGAAAGTACATTACTTTTTAATGCAATTTGCCCTATTTAAAACAACTTATGTTTTTGTTTCTTGTAAAAGTATTTATTAACTTATGCGGTATCAAATCGGAGTTAAATAAAAAATGATTAAAATTTTAAACTGGTAATAAGCAGTTTTTCATAAGTCAGGAATGATTAACTTATAAAAAATAGCTTATTACCGGTTTGACACCGGTATAAGCATTTTTTTTCTTATCCAAACACTAGAAAATAGCTTAGCACCGGTGCCAGACTTAAATTAGTTAAAAACAGTTTTTATAAGCAATCCCAAACAACCCCTTAATTCCTTTGTTACTTCATCCATAATTTTTTTTGCAACATCTTACAATCTTTGTAGAGACGCTCTAAATTCAAAACTTTTGATTACATTGCATAAATCATATAATATAATAGAGTGTTAAAAAACAAAAAGTGTCTAAACCTAAATGATTAATAATCTGAAACTAAACCTAAATCATTAATTTTATACTAAACAATTATATTTTATTTTTGTATTATATTATAAGAGTCTCTTAATTATTCTGACCACTTAATCATTCAGCACCTTAATAATTTGAACCTAAATAACTTCAGCTATAGTTTTACATAGGTCGATAAAAAGACACTAAACAAATATAATTTGGGCCTCAAAATTTTGAAGGCCCTCTTCAAAATCTCACATTTCACATGCTAAGGGACGACTCTAACAAATATTTAATTTTGTATATTACTTATCCATTTTAACTTGTAACAAGTAAGTCTTGTAATTATTGATGATGTGTGTGTGTCAAATCGTTAAGTTATATAGTATTTGTTTTTTATTACATAGATAAAAGAATGTTTTATTGTTATGTTAGATTAAAACTAAAAACAAACTTCACAGGGAGTGATATCTTAAGCTCTAAATGAGACATTAGTCGTCACTTTAATAGATTGTTTTATAATAAGTTTAACTTTCCTTCTTCCGGAGACTATCTATAATTCATTTATTCATCATCAATATGAATTGAAATTGAAAAGGTTGAGTGTTCGTACTCAGTCCCCTTTATGCGTATGAAAAGCCGAAACTTAACACACACAATTGAAAACCTCCAGATTACTTCTCTACTGGTCGAACCACCAAGAACGCAATCGGGATACCGAGACCAACTGACTTTGTTTGCTGGACGCACCACCCACAAAGACAATCTCTCAAACTTGCAAACGAGCCCTCGCTTACAAGAACAAGTTCACCCGAACTAATCAGATTGTTTTATGCAAAACGATAAATAAATAAATAACGTTTTGATTCATTAAAAAAAACTGATTTTATTTCAATAAGGTACACATGCTTAAATAGGGTAAAAAAACCATAAAAAGGAAACTATACATGCCATATGCTTATTTAATCTATGCTTATCTTAACCTTGGAAAGAAAAACTACTAAATCTAAGCAAACTACTAAATCTAAGCTCAAACCTGGTAAAACGACCTCAAGTGAAGCCTAAAAATCCAGTGAGCAAAAATCTATGAAAGCAATGAAATTTTGATCTTCAAGTGAATTGGTTTGAGTGCGAAATAATATAGAAATCTCCAACTCTTGAATTCAGCTCATATTGTAAATTTGAAGCTCCAACTCGATGTTCTTTTTACAAA